CCTCTTATAGCCCTGATCTAAGTTCAATTGAGCATGCGTTGGATGTTATGAAACGAATTTGATATCTTTGGTTCAAAGAATTATTGCGGCACGGAGCACCTTCATTCCCGAGGTGATGAAAAACCTGATGAAATCTGTGCGGCGAAAGGAGACTTTATGCATCGCAAAAAAGGGAGGCCATAATGGCGATTAATTGGTAGATATTTTTCTTTAATTCTCAATCTATTAACCTTTTTTTTCTGTAGTTGCGTTACCTTATTTCTCCAGTATAAACCAAACTTTTTCGGTCAAATGTCATGATAGCTAATGGCGTAACAAATCAAAATTGTTCACAATAGTTAGACTGTTCACAATGCCAAACTTCATTCCATTATGAAAACGTGAAATTAGTTTTTGAAGACTGAAACTCAAACTTCGAGGGTATAAAAGAACCCAAATAGAAAAAAGTCCTGAAAAGAGTCGAAAATTTCTAATTTGTTAGTGTCCAATAACCTCAGAAAATTAATTTAGCTTTGTCCTTACCCGTAGCTCAAGTGTTCATGATCACTTTTTACATAACAACCGGGTCAAACTTTTGAGTGTTTGACCTCCAAAAAAGTAACCAAGAGAGATAGTCAAAGCTCGAGATGCTTCCTTTAAATCGAAATATTCAGCGTTCGTTGCCATTTGTGCCAGTAAAATCTTTAACGCAATTTTTCTACTCAACTTCTAATTTTCTAGTTACCTTCTGCAATGGCTCCAAAGTTAACAGTACAAAAGTTAATAAACCAATGGAGATACAAAAAATCACAAAAGTGCCTCGACGTTGCTTCAACATTACGAAAGATGAAAAGCGACCTACGAATCAAAGTTCGGAAGTAAGAACCGCTTAAAACTAACGAAGCGTCCAATTCTTTGAAAATCGGTCCAACTACAAATGAACCAGTAAGAGCTCAAAAACTAGTAAAAGTTTGGCCAAGAGCGTCATCTTTACTACGGCTGCCGATTTTTCTTTTTTTTACATCCTCCTTCGGTTTGAATACATAAAACTTAGACGTTCATCATAGCTACAGCAGCAAATTTCCGCTAGATACAAACCGAGCTACAAATCAGGCGATCAACGAGGTTATCAACACTTCAGCAATGAACTTCAGATCAGTTCCATCTTACCCGAATTGCTCGCTCAAATCTTCTAAGAATTTACTTTTTAACTAAAGAAGCGGGAACAACACTGCCTGCTGAACAATCTCGAATAAGCTGTACTCAAGCAATTTATGCAGCACCTGAACAACTAATCGCAAGCGCTGAATAAATTTCCGACAACCGGCTTAACTATGGTATGTTCAAAAAATTACAAAGCGCAGTATTTTAGAACGTTTTATATGAAAACTTTTTTAAAAGTTCACTGAGGTGAAAAACTAACAACGCACAGAGTGGGGGAAATATTTTAAGCTCTGGTTTAATTGCTTAAGCCAACACAAATTTAGTAAAGGCACATCGGTCAAGCGATGCGTTACCAATAACTGCAAAGGACACCACTCAACCCTACACATCAACATAAAGCGGTTTCAAAGGCACAGACAGAAATCTAACAACACGCAGCTTAGCACTACAGTAATGCAACTAAGATTTTGAAATCAAAAGTCAGATACAATTTATGCCAGTAGTATTTTCGAACAGTTAGCAAAACTGGACTGCAACATTATACTCGACATCTGCAGCAGCTGCTCGTACATCATCAGCTAACCAAGTCAACAACTACAGCGTAGCTTACAATGTGCTCCCATCAAAAAATCTGAGAACACTCTAGAAAAACCACTTACGCTATTCAAAATCTAATAAGTTGGACAATCACTGGTCCGCTCAAACTGAAATCTAAGATTTTCACTCTTGAGTCAGTCTACTAAACCGAAGATTTGGTTTTTGCCTCATCTAGGTGACAGTTTAGTGCAGATTTTGTTATGCGTAGATTCATTCTAGAAAATTGCGGCGCTTGATATATGAGAAGGCCATAGAGACACCTCCTACGCTATCCAAAATCTTCTAAGTTGGACAATCACTGGCCTCGTCAAAAAAAATCTAAGATGACAGAGTTAAATTCTCATTTATCTAACTTCGTTGACACAGCTCAACATGAAGAGGCTACTCTCACTGAAATTATAAAACAATTTTTGGAAAATGATAGGTACAAGCACTCACGAAAAAATGAAAAGAGCGAAGGACAACTAATGTTTTTGGAACCAAACATTCAGCACGACGGAGATCGATAAAAAATAAATGTACTGTGGAAAAGCGAATTGGTTAGCCACAAATATCCGGTAGCAAAGTGTAAATTGCTCTACAGAAACGTAACCAACCAGTATCCAGAACTGTGCTACTTTACATGAAGTCCCATATTCTGACCTGGAAAAGAAGTTTGTTACTGTTTGATATCCACAGCTCTTTGAGTTCTTGCTTGAAACTAGACCAGACACACAAAACAACCTTTTTGGCGTTCTACTGCGATTTCGATAAAAACTTATGGCCGTAACAACGGACATTGAAGAAATGTTTCTGCAAATAGTTATCAAACAAGGATTAAAAAGTGCTTCTTAATGCTCGCCATCTATTGCCACCTTTGCTTCGAGCTTCATTGAACAAATGCCGACTATTGCATAACCCAGCCAAAATTGCTCATCTGCTTCATGAAAGCCTCTACAGGGACAGCTTTGTTCATTCATTTGGCACGACAAACGAGGCTTAAGACTCCACCGCACCTGTAATTTCGTCACTAATACAGAGGGCGTCAACATAACCAGGCTCGAGCTGGGTTCCTGCCTGGACCTAACCAATACATTCTTCGAGCATCCTTGAACCAAGTTAACAAATACTATAAATTTTACACTTCAAACAGTCATATCCACAGTACAAGGGTCTTAGCCCTACTAGGAATCCTAGCGCCAATTGTTCAACAAAGCCTGTGGAAGTCTGGAACCCATGCCCAGTAACTTTGTTCCAAAAATCGACAAATGGGGAAATCAGGCAAACAAGGCTCCCCTGTCAGGCAACCCCACTAACTAGAACCACATCTGTCACCAAGTGACATACAGCTTCATGTGTTCTGCGACGCATCGCAAGAAGCCATGGCTGTGTGTACCTATTTTCGACTGCAGGCAGCTGGGCTAAACACGCTACTTTTTATTGGCAGAAATTAGGTATCTCTACTGAACCAAGAAAACACCCCAAAACTGGAACGAGAAGCCGCCCTTATGGACGCACGCCTGTGCAAGTTCGCAACTTATGAAGCTCGAATGAAATCCCAGTCCACTCACTATTGGACAGATATCAAAACAGTTCTGTAGTGGACTGCATAGCCCGGTAAACTAAAAACATACTGCGCAAATGGAGTCGATGATTTGTTTATTTTATGCGACAGCAATGACTTTAAAACCACATCCTCGGTAAACTCAACCCAGCAGAACGCGCTACGCGGGGAACTTACTACAAAAACGTAAGCAAGATCTGGTTGGACGCACCAAAATGGCAACTCAACAATGAGGTTCTATGTGGGATCAAGTAAAAAAGAACCCAAAACGTTACAACTGTTAACGCCGCCCCCATTGTCCACACATATAATTAATTAAGAAACCAGCAGCAAGCTGGCAACAAAAACGGACTCTAACAGTTCTCGACTACAGTAGTTTTTGCGAGCGAGGATGACTATATAACTCATCTTTACCAGACGCAACGAGTTATCCAATAATCCTAAACACAACGAAACCTATGCATCACAGCACTGAGTACGTTTAAACAACTTGCAAGAAAACTGTGTCATCATGGGGCTCCCAAACACATTCAGACAATTAAGAAATAATTGCTTTCTCTCCATGAGGTTCCAATGCGGAGGTTTACATCCATTCATGGCTGTCTTGCCGCCGACTCATTTGGTTTCAATGATAAATGTGGATACTTGAGGACTTCACATCACAAGGCATCTGCTCACAGGGTCTAGTGCTAGAAAATTCTACCGGCTCGGATGGCAGCGCGCACTCGTTTAAACTCAAAACAGTAATAGGTACCTTAACAAGACCAGCGTTGAAACTTGCCCTCCCAATTTCAAAAACGGCGATTCAAGTGTACTAGTTCAATTGATTACTACAAAAATGAGCTCTGGATTTGAAAATGAATTTGAATCAGCCAGAACAATTTGGAAGTTAAATATCTGAAATCTTGATGTTTTGATCGACCAAGCTCAACACCAATACAGATATTTTTCTTCTGTGATGATGAAAGCGAGACTCAGATTGTGTCAATATCAATAATTAACCGTGAGACTTCAGTTGTAACAATAAATAATTGATACTAACAGTAACAATTTTTAAACCATCAATATTTGTTTAGCAAAGACAGGAAGACAACTCGACACAAGTTAAAAGGTAGTTGGGACCATTCAAGATTTTGCCCTGATGTAAAACTGTGTAGTTAATTTAAGCGCTGATTCAGCGCAAATATCCAATTTAACATTCAATTCTTTTTGCTGACTTTTTCTTTTCAATTAGACCTGCCCAGTTTTTGACTTTATTAATTAGCTGATATTAAATGCTGTCTGCAAAGTTTAATGAAATGTATTTTCGAAATTCCCAGCAGGAAACGCGTTCAAATTTGGCGCCTGCAGTTTTTCATTTTTTTTGGTAGTCCAATCAGTCCTGTTTTTTATCAAGCAAAAATTGGCATAGTTGAAAAACTACTTTTTATTTTACTGTACCGATTTGATTGTTTTGATTTATTTTAATATGACCAGAAAAAGTATCTTGACAAAACGTTTTGCAGGCCAGCCCAAACGAGCTAGGACGAAAAAAGGGAAAAAGTTACAAAGGCTGAAAATATTCAATTAAATAAATTTCTTTTCAAAATTTTAATATTTTTTCTTTTATCGAAATTTCAATTGATTCAAAGTTTGGAAATTATAGGATTATATAAAAAACGTAACAATACGACTCAACGTTAAATGTTTTTGCATATGTATATTGGTACTGCTCGTATTGCTAAATGCTCAAAAGATGAATCGTCTAGATTTATTTCTATCAGTCTGTTTTGATAAAATATTTACATAGGTGTAGCAGTACATAGGTGATAAATGAAAAAAAAACAAGCTATAGCAAACATGCATTATGAAGAACACTAAATTTAAGTGAGTGTATGTGCATCAAAATGAGCTCCTCGTATAATATAGCCGATATTGTTAACTACCCCCCCCCCCTTATTGGAAAGGAGGGGGAGGGAGGGGAATTGTACCCTCCTTATTAGAATATATGGTAAAAGTGTTACAATGCACCAAACTCAGAAACGTTTGACCGTTGAATTAGTCTTTTATAGGTTTGAAAAGTCTTTATCGCAGGTATCTCGAGGAAGGGGGGGTAGTTAACAAGATAATTTATAACTCAACTCACATACTTACGAAAAAAATCAAATTCAAATTCTGGAAAAAATGTGGAAGCACTAACTTGGTCGCGGAAGCTAAGCAAGTTTAAAAATGTCTTGCTTTTTTGTTGAAACTTTCGGATTTAGAAATCAATGAATTATTTCCAATCGGTAAAATTAGTTTCGTTGTCGGCTGCTTCTCATTCGAAAAGTTAAAGAATATTGCTTTGCTTTCGGGTCAACAGTTTAAAATGACCTTTGCATATATTTTATCGCAAAAGTATTTTGGTTGTAAAAGGATTTGATCAAAGCTTTGCCTTAATATCTAATCATCATCATTTCAAGCATTGTGCTCTAAATTTATATAGTGTAAACTATATTTAATATATAATTTTTAAATAAAATACGATTGAAAGTGTGCATTCATCAAATCCTTGCTTAATAAATTATAACTTAAATAATAATAAGAGAACTTCTTTTCAAATAAGTTTGTTGGTTAGAAGATTCTGCAATATTTCACATATCTGCTCCATGATTATCTTGTGTTGGGTGGCCCTGTTGAAAATGGCATCCAGGTACTTGGGGTCCATGAAAAAATTGAACACATTATCCAGCCGCAAGCCCGATTTTTCCGATAGAGGACGACTAATGATGTTGTTCAAAGTGTCCTTCATACCGGCAAGTTGGTCCAAGATGATGGTTCTGTTGTAACAATCTGGCATCTGGTTATACGTCACAAAAGTCATCACGAATTTGTGGAATACTTCACGAAGTTGCATCAGAGCGTCCAGCTCTTCGCCTATGGCAAAACCATAACAAATAGCAGTTTAGGGCGGCCGGAATGTTTCCTACTTGTTTTTTTTTCCTTTAATTTTGGCTGCAAACTTTTTCTGGCACAGTTTCAACCTATCGCTATGTGGCGAATTGACTCAATTGACGATTTAATTTTGAAGGGGGAGGGGGGTTTGAATCAATTTACAAAAACAGTTTGAACTAAAGTTTGGTCTCATAAATTCCATCATTAACGAAAACAATTCTGCCTTCACAACTCACGATAACAGTATCTGTACAATTGTACGCAGCTAAGTTAAAAGTTAATAAAAATACAAAATTTTGGCCGGTAGCAAACCGAAATAGGTTATTTTTCTGCTAACGTCCCCCATTTGTGCTTTTTACCTGAATCATTTGTTCCCGTTGCCTGATTGTGACGAAAACTCGTATCAGTAATTATATTACCCAATTTTTAGCATATTACTTGGTGGAATTGCATAATCGTCAACGGTTACAGCGGAATATAGTTTTTTAAAAGAATTTGCCACTTTTCGCTTTTTTCTTCCTGTGATTGAATTTATTGCTAATCAATTTATTGTTAATATAAGTTAAATTAGCGGTAAAAAAAATTCTGGTCATCCGGATCGAACGCCATTCACGAAAAAGGTTTATCATACTCTTCCATAGAATATAATCCTAATCATACAATTCCATGCATAGAGTTCATGGAAAAATTTCATTCTTGCATTTCCCATAAATAAAAATTATATGATAATCTTTATTTTAAATGGACATAGAATCAAAAAAAAATCAAAAATTGAAAAACAATTTTTACGATTTTTACTCGCAGAATTGAATATATGCTCGTTGAATATATGCTCAAACCGTTTCCGGAAAAAAATTTGCAATTAAAATCTTAACATTTTTGTCTACAAGGTAAGCGAGGCTCATTTTTTCGCGCAAAAGAACCAAAAACAACAATGAATTTAAAAACTATAAAATTTAAGAAGACAGAAAACGATTTTCAATTTGACTATTTACAAGGTAAAAGTTTTCTAGCCATCATAGGCGCACAGTTTCGGGTCAAAAATATTTCTGATTCCAGAGACAAGTCTTTAAACCTGTTCCAAAATGTAAAAAGAATCCACTTACAAATTTTGCTGTAAAGTAAATTTTGTCGGCACATTAGTTGTGTTGCGGATTCCGCAACGCGCCAATATAGGTAGTTAATTCCGCAAAAGTAAGCATATTCCGGAAGCCTATGTGGATTTTGCTTACAACTGCGGAATCAGCTATTTCTCCTTGGAATTCAAAACAGCAAAAAAAAAACAAAGAAAAATGGAGATGTTGATGACCCCTCAATCCGCAACAATTTTGTTTTTGGCCTGTTCCAGAACCCGCTTACAAATCACAAAATGCACAGTTTGGCATCGTAATGATTTGCAAAATTAATATTTATAACTCCGTGTAAAATATAAAACATTAAAAAACATGCCAAATCTCCAAATGCACCTTATCTACGAGAATGTTGTCACACATGGACGAAACACAAAAATACGAAGCGAAACTCAGCTTTTTCTTATTTATGGGAGAAATGATAGTCATTCCAATATCATGCATGGGCGAAAAATTGTCAAATAAAAACCGGATCTACTTAACAACCCCCGCCCCCAACCTATGGTACCTAGTTAAGAATCTCCACCCCTATAATTAAAAACAATAAATTAGCACTGAGCTTTCTAAAGAGAATTATAGTTTTGCTGCATTCTGATTGGTCAAAAAATCGACTATTTTGATCTAATTCACAGTCTCCCCTCTTTTCTTGAAAGGGTGGATATTGTTAAGTAGCTCCGACAATCGTTACGGTTCTTTAAGTATGGAGAATTAGAAAATTGTGTGACAAATTTTGTCATCTGTGGAAATTGTATGGTTACGTTTTGGTCTTGCCGGGCTAATTACAAAATTAAAAAAACTTTTTCAAAGTAGTAGCTTTACTCATTTTGAAAATTTGTTCAGACATTCAAAATTAACAAAATAATTGAAATTTTAAATTACGATGCACTCGTAGGATGTCCATATCTTTCTCTCGTCTTGAGGAAATCATATATCAGCAGACGTTTTTAATTTTTAATTTTTTTTAATGGTTCTCACAGTAGAATTCAGTTCCGCTAAACATTCCTATGAAAAAGAAATCAAATAAAAGTTATGGCATATAACATTTCGTTTAAAGTTTTTATAAGAAGTTAAATTCCACTAAGGCCTCGTTTTTAAACCTGCAGAGCTGGTTACACCATAAAATTGATGAACATATGATGGGGCGATTGTAATTTGTGAGGAAGAAAAATATTTCATAGTGGCTGCTCTAAGAAACATCTACCTTTTTCAGTCTTCTATGAATAATCAGTTTCTAATTGATCTTACATTTTCAAACTTATTTAAGGGTCTAAACCTCATGAGCTGACAGGTCGATTATCTGCTAACTGTAAGCGTTGCACGGGCGGATTAAGGGGGACGGGCGGACGCGCCCTATCTTCAGGGTTTCGAACCACTTTCGACCCAAAGAGTCTCATCCCATTTGTACTTTTTTGAGCCATCCATTTTTGGCTGAGGAGCCCTAAAGTTTTCATAAGTATTTTTAATATATACCAATTTTGAGGGGGGAGCGCAAGCAGAAAAATGTAAATTTTTGGTCTAATTTTTCCAAAAAGTGCCTAAAAAGCCTTTTTTGGCTTGTTTTAATTTTCAAAATGTAACTTTCAAGCCTTAACAGAGTCATTTTAGTGCTTTGGGAGAGCTCGGCGGACAATTAATTTAATCAAACTGAAAAAAAACTGTCCAAAATCCGCACCCCTCGAGAAAAATCTAGATCCGCCCCTAAACGATCCGCCCCTGAAAACTTGTTCAGAAATTCAGAAAAAAATAATTGAAATTTTAGATTATGATGCACACGTGAAATGTCCCTAATATTCTTTCGTCCTGAGGGAACACATATCTGCAGACGTGAAGTTTTGCTGTGCATCTTTTAAAGACTACTAGAAAACTCAATAGCACGCAAATACCAGTTAAGCTTTGCAATTTTTTTTAATGGTTCTAACAGTAGAATTCAGTTCCGCTTAAATTCCTACGAAATTCCTAGAAAACAAATTAATATTATGTCTTATAAGATTTCTTACAAATTTTTATAAGAAGTTGAATTCCACTAAGATGTCGTTTTTAAACTTACAAAGCTGGTCACATCATAGAATTGATGAACACGTGATGCGGAGATTGCATTTCGGTTGGAAGAAAAAACGTTTTCTCCTAGCTGATCTAAGAATTATCTATTTTTTTAGTCTGTGCGAATAATCACCTTCCAATTGATTTTGTTTTAACATTTATTTAAGGGTCTAAACCTCATGAGACTAGATATCGATTATCTAGAAACTGAAAGCGTCCCAGGGGTGGATTTATGGGAGGGGGGCGGCCCCTCTGTACTATTTTGAGATATCCATTTTTGGCTGACAAACCCTTAAATTTTTCTAAAGCCACTAAAATTGCATGTAGTTCTTAAACAGGGGCACAGCAGCAGTTCGCCGCTCTTGTGTTGGTCCTTTCACCCGTGGATAAATGGTCTTAATATATACTAATTTTGAGGGGGAGCGCGCGCCGAAAAAACGCGATTTTTGGATAAAAGTATTCTAAAAATTGCCTAAAAACGCCTTTTTGGCATGTTTTTTCAAAATTTTGCCTGCGGCGCACAAAATTTGGCAAAAACAGGGTCTTTTTAGTGTTTTGAGAGAGTTAGTAGATAGTTAATTTGGTCGACCTGAAAAAAAAAGATCCGCCTCCTCGGGAAAATCCTATATCCGCCGCTGAAGTTTCCGCTTCTCCCCTCGCTGAACCCCCCTCCCATAATGACTTACCTGTTAATTGTTTTTGACCAGCTAAGACTGAAATTTTGACGGTGAGTTTTATGAGATCTTTGTGCACCTTATGGACAGTCTGCTTAACATTCGCCTCTTCTTTCTCCCTCTCTTTTTTGTTTTCGATCGAACTGACGTTCTGCTGAATGCAAAGATACTCGTAGGACAAGTCGTGGAATAGCTGCAACAGTCTGTTCTGTTCTTCGTCTAAAAACTGTTTCTGAACAGATTTATTAGCCGAAAGTTGACTTAGCACCTTTTTCTGGGCACTTACAACTAGCGACTTGGAGTTGTGATTTTTGTCTAAACAGAAAAAAATTACAATTCAAGGAGCAGAAAAATTGACAGCCTAGTTTCAGGAAAAACAAGGAAAAAAAACGATCGACTGGAAACGAAAACCGTCATCACACCTATTGCAAGAACATGACTCGGGTCTACTTAACAATTTCCCCCATTTCAAAAAAGTGGGGGGGGGGGGGGTGAGATTGTTAAGTAGATTACTTGCAGCGAATTTTCGGCCAATCAGAATGCAGTAAAATTCGAATTTACATACAACGCTCTAGTGCTAATTTACTGTTTTCATTTACAAGGGTGAAGATTTTTTACTGGATACAATAGCGGGGGGGGGGGGGATTTCTAAGTAGATTTGGCTCATTCGGTACTCGTCTAAGTTTCTCATTAAGAGCCGATCTAGCAGTAGCGTGCTGAGAGTGAGCCTCTCCCCCCTGCAATTCTTCGTTAGCAATTACACAGAATCTCCCTCTTTGGCTCTATGGTGCCAACTCTTTAACCCTACGATATTTAACCCCCTCTGTTTACACCCCCTATATTATAACTCCGTAACATGATAACCCCACAACAATTTAACCCCCTTTTATTGACGATAAGTTGTTTCAAGTTAAGTCCTTTTTATAAGTACAGGAGTAGTCCAAATAAGTTTACTAATTGAGGCCTGAAAAGCTAGTCTTCATTCACTTGATGCCTCGCATCTCAAAAATAATTTCATTTCGATTAGTAAGAGAAATAATCCCTCACTCACGCGTTTAAAACAGAGATAACCTAGATGGTGCTAATTGAAGACAGCAAAAGACGTTTGTGAGTCTTATAAAAAATCGTATTGCCTATTTTTTTAACCACTGTTATACATTTCTATCAGATCAGGTTTAATGTTTGAAGCGACATTCCATTTTACTTTATCTTCGAAAGACAAACAAATGCTAGTGGTATCAGGCCACGAGTATTACCTGAAACGCAAAAACAAGACAACAACAAATTGGAACTGCTCAAAGTACTAAACCCATTAAATCCGCGCAACAGTAATTACGGATGGAGAAAACTTTATTGAAACGAGGGGTCAGCATAATCACGATATTTCCACGGGCAAACCTGATGCTCGACTAGTTTTGAAAAACATCAATGATCTAAGCGATAGTAACACCCCAACCGTCGCAGTCGCAACCGCCTTTCAGACCATTACAGACAACATTGCCACTCAACTAGCCCTATCATCCCAAGAAAATTTAGTTCGCACCGCACAACGAGCGCGCAAGCAACGAGAAGAAATCTTACCAGTGTCCCCAGCAACCAGAAGTTTCAAAATACCCGAACTTTTCAAAAATTTTATAAGATTCGACAGTATGCAAAATGAACACGAGAGAATTATTTTATTCGGCGACCCTGAAATGCTACGTGTGCTTGAAACATCCAACTTTTGATTGGCTGATGTAACTTTTAAAGTCACCCGAAAATGTTTTGTCAACTTTACTCCATACACGTTAGTCTTTCAGGAATAGCCCCTGCTTGCATATATGCGTTCCTGCCAAATAAAACAGAAAAAACTTACCACCGTTTCTTAGAAGCCCTAAAAATTTTAGCCGCTGATAGTAGACCTGAAAAAAGATCCGGTTCTATTTCTTAGCCGATCACTGCTAAGAAGTGGCTAAAAGTGCTTTGGATTCCAATATTTGAACTTGAATTATTTTACCAGCTCTATATGCATAAAGCAAAAGGTTAAAAATTTGACTGGAGGGAATTGCTCATAATGGGGGATGTCCTAAAACGAAAAAAAAACTATCTTTTTATCTAAATTTTTTAAGGAAAACTAAAAAAAAACAGTTCACTCAACTAAAAAACAGTTGACTAATCAAGTTTTTTTAGTAGGTAATGAAAAACTGCTTTCAAAATTTTAAAAATCTGAATTGTGAAGTTTCATGGATGTTTGCAGGCATCACATCCTTCTGTTTTAAATAATTAAAAGCTTGTACAACCCTAACAGACAGAGCAGAAAGCGATCGTTGCATAGCAGTTGTCAAAAGTTTTATAATTTTAATAGTGCCTTTCTCTTTGCTCCTGTTACGTGGTCCAAATTGTTCTGTACAAACATGAGAAAAAACCTTTATTTTTTTTCTTGGTTTCAATTCATTGAATAGATACTTGAACAAATCAAAAAAATTCTCAAATAGATTTAGCAAGTAGTTTTTGTCCAATAAATCTTTGATTGTTTTAATTGTTACAGTTTAGAAGCCTAATTGTAAAGCAAAAAAAGCAAGATTTTCCATAAATGCTAAAAAAAAAGGTCGCGTAGTTTTTTTTGCAAAAATTGCCTGCAACGCTAAAAATATAGCCTAATTGGCCAAATTTGGACATATTAGTTTCAGAAGCGTTAAGTATCATACCATTTTTTTCAGGCTGCTTCATTTTGTACAAATGGAGATTACTCAACTATTGTATTGTATCAGTATAAGTCTTTCAGTATATCAGTACTTCAGTAATCGTAAAAAATGATATACGTTGTTGTTCGTTCTAAGAATTTCACACAGCTACAAAAAAGGCTTGAGGTTAAAGATAAAAGAAAAAGCAGAGAGGTAAGGTGAGCAACTTCATTAGAAGAATATTCACTATTCTGATTCCTCATTACTATCATATCATTCTTAAAAATAGATAAAAGAAAAATTATATCAGATATAAAGTGTATAAATTATATTTGATCTTTTGAAATGCTTATTGTATTTTTGCTGCTATTTTTAGCTATTACTATAAAAAAATGAACGCTTTTGTACTAATGGTCTAATCGATTAATCAAAGGACAAAATAAACCAAAAATCTTGAACTCGACCAACCTGACCCCAAAAGTTTTCTAATTGAGGTTTCTAATTGTCAAAAAAAGAGAAACATTTCAAATTTGTCCACGAAAAAAAAATGATTAATATAAGAGCTGATCAATTTCTTGAAATTGCCGTTTTTGGATTTTTTTCTGTGCTTGGCTTAGAATAGGATTGATTAAATAATTCTTTAGAAGTTTAGTCCTAAAACATATTTTTTAAGCTTACTATTAGTGATTATGATTTCATTTCTTCAAAATTTATTTAAAATTTTGAAAACAGTTTTATTGTTCCGACTTTCGATACGAAAGTAACGGAATATTTGTGCTCGGGGTAGATCTTCAGACAAATTTCGACTTTTTAACTAGCCATATTTGACGGAATTTTTTTTATCATTCGAAAAGTATTGTTGTCCTGAGCTCAAATTTCAAAATATATTTCACTTGTGATCATTTTTCGTAAAGTTATGGGGAATTAAAGATTGCCATTTTGGTCAATTTGGGACAATTAACGCGCGATATATTTCACGCTATTAACGCGTAAGCGGAGAGTTAATCCGTCTTAGAAATCGTTCCAAATTGGTTAAAAGAAGCTTGTTTGCCATAATTGGTTTGTTACAAGGAGCGAAATCTATCCTTTTGTACTTTATATGGCGTGTGGGGGGATGATTTTCATAAAAAATTTTAAATTTTAGAAAAAAATTTTTTTTTCATTTTGTTTTATTTCATTGAATTTTTTAATGTTTTACGAACAGTCTTGTTGTTTTTTGTTTACCATAAAACTGATACTATCCTAACAGTGCAAAGATCTAATAATGACTAACTGTCTTCCACCTTTATGATCTCATGTTGAATACTTACTGTGACAAATATGAGAGTGTAAGAATGCCAAATGGATTTAAAAAAAAAACTGACTAATCGTGTTCTCCTGCTACACTCATTACAAAAAAAAACATTCCTGAAAAACGTATTGTTCCGACTTTTGAAAAAAAAAATGGAATATTTATGCTTGGTGTGGTTTTTTTATTCAGTCAATTTTGGCCGATTGAAATGATAGTTTTCAACAAAAATTTTTTATACCCCATTGAAGATATCGACTTCCTGAATTCAAATTTAAAAAGATAATTTACCTCTGATTTTTTTTGTAAAGTTCAGGGGATTTGAAAATTGCCAAATTGGCCAGGTTCTAGACTAAATTATGCGCGCTTTGAAGAATTTATTCATAATGCTGAGAGCGCAACGCAAATAATTCATGCGCGACGCATTATCCCGCACAAAAAAATCGTTCCAAGTTGAATTGATGCTAGGTAATTGATCGTATTAATTTCGTAACTTGCATTTTCACACTTGATCTTTGGTATTGACCAAAAATTATAGGTTTTCGATATTTTCTTTTCCCAAAAACTATTCGATGTGAATTATTGGCGCTAGAGCTTTGTATTGAGAATTCTAACTTTGCGGCAAGCTGATTGGTCGAAAATGCGTTACTTTAATCCACTTAACAATTGCCCCCCCCCTTTCTTAAAAGGGGAGCAATTGATACGTAGATCCACTTTTTTTTTATCTCAGGGCTACAAGAACTTCAATATGATATTGCATTCGAATATCGACAAAGTTTTTTGGCAGTACCTAAACTGGGCTAAAAAACTTCCCTAAGCAATATAGTGGTCGAACTAACAGCAAGAAATCATAAAGGTCAAATTTAATTGAAGTGAAATTTTTAAAAACGAAACAAGACAATTCGTGTCAGTTTGAGTCTGTCATTTATTGGTCAATTGCACAATTTTATTTTTTGCGTCTGTTAATGAGTGCCTCAGAAAAAAGTGTATGTCGAATTCTTTCGGCGCATACACTTTAAGCTACTAAAAATCAGTTTTCTCGCGTGTTAATCATCCCGAATTATCAAAATTGGTAATTTTTAAACCTCTACAGTTATTTTAAAAAACTTCAGCGTTGTAACAGCACTGAAAGATCCATAGAGTTGTGCTGACTTTCGGCAACATCAAAAAAATTCATACAAAATAAATTGAGGAAAAATTTGCGACTTTGCTTACAATTTTTCACCATTTTGTTTATCTTACTATATATATTTGTTAGATAAAGTTGTTCAAATTAAAAAATTGCATGCAGAAATTGTTGTAGAGATCTGTTCATTTTTTCAAGTTTATACGTTTTACTGCAGTTCAGAGGTTTTTTAGGTCGACCAAATAGACTTTCTGTAGTTCTCCTAAAACACTTTGAAGCCCCCATTTTGACAAAATTTTCTGCGCCGCAGGCAAATTTTTGAAACAACAGGCCAAAAAACGCGTTATTAAGCACTTTTTGGAAAATCGCGTTTTTTTTGGCGCGCGCTCCGTACTCAAACTTAGTATTTTTTGCGCCAAAGGCTCCTTTAGAAAAACTTTAGGGTCAATCAACCAAAAATGGATATCTCAAAATAGTACAAAGGGGGAACCTTTGGGTCGGCAAGGGATCAAATCCATGAGGAGAAAGGCGTCCCCCCCACCGCCCCCTCACCTAAATCCGCTGGTGCTGCAGTTTAAACATCAAAATCATCATTTTAAATAGACTTTCCGAAATTGGATTTCAGAATAAAATCGAGGAAGATAACTGGAATAAAATCAAACTAGCTTCTATCAAGATTCGAAACCTCTACTTTTAGCTCCCAGACGACCCGTGTTACCCGCGCTCAGTAGTGAAGCTTCTCTGTAGATTATACTCGCAACTCGGAGAAGCGTATGATTGAATCATAAGAATCATAAGAATCGTAAAAAAAAATCCAAAACTTTTAAATTACTTCCCCAGACAATACGCTGAGCCATCGAAGATAAAACCCTTATTGAATTGATAGTGAACTATATCTTAAACTGAAAGTTAAATCCCGTTTGGTTGATCAATATTCCAGTAATGCTAAATCAAGCTCGTTTCAATCTACGAACAGAAATGTCTCAGAGCTGGCTATCTTCGGTCAAACCTCTAATTTCAATCACCTAAATTGGCCTGAAAAAAACTACCCGAACCTATTTTTGTTACGTTAGCCGAAACTATATTTCTCGATAGTTAAAAACTACTTGAAAACATTGGTTCAGACGTGCGGTTTAACCCCCGTAAACAGGCCAACATGACATCTCTGTAAAATTGCAACTTTTTAATAACGAAAAAAGCTCACATTTTCCAAAAAGTTGTTTTTGATCATTGGGTCTTTTGAATGTGGATTTCTTATTTTGTTGCTTACTTTTATCTGACATCGCAAACTATAACTTCTGGGTAATATAAAATAGGTAAATTTTCTGGTAGTTTATAAATATAGCGTCTTCATTTTAAATGATCCAATAAGTGCTGTTGAAAAACTGAATCAACTAAAACCATGAAAAGCAACAGTTTTGGCTTTTAAAAAACCGAAATTTAATAATAATGGAACTTTTCAATTGACAAAATAGAAATCGGTTAAGTTATTTTTGCTGAAGAAGCTGATTTTTTTGTCGAATAACAAGTCAATTAAGAACAAACTATAAGCTGCTTACAAGATCCTACCTACAATCAATATTTGGCATACGACACTAAACGGGACCAGGCCAATTAGCATACGGTTCGTTTGACATACTCAATTTTTCTAAATCTATTAAGGGTAGCTTAGCGTACCCGCTTCTGTTTGCAAAACGTGTCTTAATTATTTCTGTCTTAATTATAATTGTCGCTTTCTCAGAATGCGACAAAAATTTCGAGTCTGCCAAACTATTTGTATACTAAGTGACATGACCTTATCCAAAACACTGAAAAAAAAACAGTTTGTTTACCGGTAGTGCTGAACTCTTGATCTGTTTCTCGTTCCATTGAAAAATCTGTGACGTAACGACAAGAACAAACTTTCAAATCTCCTCCCAAAATCGAAGATTATCTTAACTGATAAGGTTATAGAGGGTTCCAACATTCAGATAATAAAAAAAAGAATTCACTTAAGCGCTTCTAATCGATTTCACCGAAGAAAAGTGATTGTTTTTTTTCTGAATGAAGTTGAAAATAAACGTTATCAAAATTTGAAATTGTGCGTGATAATTTTTTTTTATAATTCAGTACAACCGTTTGGTTGAATGCTCAATTTAGGAGCCAAATTTTGACGAACTTTAACAGACGTGTGACAGATCCCAAACTAGAAATCATAAGAGAAACACTTGAAGGTAAGTTTAGTGGAAATCCAAAACAGCGACGCCATTTGAATATTTAAAATCTAAATAAACCAAGTAAACATTTCAGGAAAATAGGAAAGCATTTCTAAGTTGATTATTGTTCAAGGGTCTGATTTTGAGGTAAAATAACGAAAATTGTGTTAAAACGATTTGCAAAGTAAGCGTTTCAAGGACACGGATTTTCGGCGTAATCATAAAGCGGAAACTTAATCTGCCACCGAACCTTCTAGATCTTTTTAGCAACTAATTTTGGTTCGCAGACACGTTTGAAGAACACTGAGTAATAGATAAAATTAGAATTATGAAAATACTTTCGTAACTGTTATTTGACACCATTGGTTGTTTGATCAAACAATTTGCTCAATGCTTCGAAGTTCAAATTATTTTTAATTCAAACAATCCGATACATGTTTGCACTGGTTTTTTACATGTTCAGAAACTCTGGTTTCAAAAAAAATGGAGTACGCAAATCGATAATAATCAAGTGTTTTTAAAAATCGGAAAGCGCTAATAAAGATAACTTCTGGGGAAAACGAGAGCTTTTAGGAGAAAGATAAGAAAAGACTAGAAAAGCGATTATAACTGTGAACAATCAACTTTTCAGCTAAAAATTACCAGTGAATACCACGTGACGAAATGAATACCATTAAAACCTTTCATTCAACCAGCGAAAAGTTTAAGCGACGAGGAAAAACGAAAGAGAAATTAGTGGAAGGTAGTTTTAAACTCGTACATTATCAGTAGTTTATACGCCCATCAGAGCTTGAGGTCCATTGAGCAGGCAGGCATTGAAGTCAAGTTAGTCTACATAGTTAACAGGAAGTTGCCTATTTTGAAAGACGGACATTTTAAAGCTAACTGTCAAAAAGCTCAATTATCTACCCGCGTCTAATAGAGAGAATAGCAATCACGAATTCTCATAAAGCGGTATTAAAATTGAATGTCAAATATAACAAAGTACCACATAACTTGTTAGTCCCTTGAGAAATCCCAAATTAAAAAAAACTATCCCAAAAAAAACCAATTCTGAAATTTAAAATTGCACAATTTGTGGAATTCTCATTTAAATCAAAAGCTCGGTGCAAGAACTTGCATCAAAATAAAATACAAGACTACTCGCATCAAGGTGTGAATTTTGATGCGGATATTTGGACATATGCTAAGTAGTATTTTGTATAAATTAAAAGATGGAATAATTTCGAAGACTTTTTTCAAGTTTTAGTCTACAAATTTGCATCAAGTTAGAAGGCAATCAGGTGAACTTAATAGCAGCTTCCTTCATTCCAATTTGGAATGAATTCAACGTGTCATTTTTCAAGCTTCCGAAATTTTTCCCAAAATAATCGCAGGTCAAACAGCAATCAGCTCAAATTTATCAAATTTAGACAGCGCAAATTTGATTATAGCTTATATACATGTATATGTTTTTTAATAATCTAACGTTGAAGTTGTTTGAAAAATAATTTACCCCGCTCACTATGTCCTAAAATGGCATTTTTTCTAGACTTTTATTGATTCATTGAAAAATTTTGCATCAAAATGTTAACTCAGCAAAGATTCTTGTCAAACCACAAAATAGAAAATCCGGATTTGATTAAATTTTTTTAACAAGAACGATTAAGTTTCTTTTTCAAATTTGTTGTTATTTTTTCTGTGCATGCAGAATGGGACTAACAGTAAATAACAGTTTTATTTTATTTCAGTTATGTTAGCAAAAGGAATAACAAAAACAACAAAAGAAGACAGTAACAAAAAAAAACAAAGAAGAAAACAAAAACAAAATTACAAACACACCCGTGTGCAAAGGACGCTCATTTCACTTTGTAAGAAACAGTGGACTTCTGCACATTCTAAAATGTCGGGCTGATTTCATGAAATAGAAGTTTAAGTTTATTTACCGAATTTTTTTCCTATGATTAATTACTGAAAAACGTGGCCGAAAATTATATTTTTGTGAAGATGATAACATAAAAATTTTCAGTTCTGTTGCAATAATTTTATAAAATTTTGTGAGCGCACTGATTCAGCCACCCCTGATTTCAATTTTTTGAAAACTTTCGAAAATATTTGGCAAAGTGTGACCATGTTGCCCTAACCTGTGCAGTGAAAGACAAACTCGACAAGTCGTATATCTATCAAATAAAATGCACGCATCTAATTGAATGACTTCAGGCCAGAAAATTGATTGTAAACAAACTTCGGGAAAAGAAAAAAGATAATCTTTTTTTGAAGTGAGCAGAAAAATTTGTTGATTTTTTTACTATCAAATTTTCTCTTTGAAATTAAATTTTCGAGAAAGCACTATGGTTTTTTGTCATTTTTCAACCAAAGCTATAGAATTGAATCTCTAGCTTCACAGTTCTGGTCAACATTTCCAGTTTGAGCACTTAACAAATGCTAGAAAGAGACAAGCTTATCGCTGTGCCCCATATAAATTATACCTTAAAATTAGAGTCTTTTTACCTATTCCTCCCAAAAATCAGTTATTCAATACCTTGAAATGAAAATAATTTGCGTCAATTTGTCTGACTAGAATTAGCCAATCAAATTTCAGCTCCATTCCAAAATATTTTATTCGCCATTCTCAGTCGATCTAAAAATCAAGCCGATTTAGCCAAAAATATAGATTAATTGGTAAACTATAAAAACGTAATTAAATTAGGCTGCAGTGTCAAGTCCAGACAACAAAAATCTGCTAAAAACTGAATAATTGGCCACCTTCTCAAAGCTCCAGGAAACAATGACCACCCTCTCAACCATCGGCTCAAAAATTGTCGTTGCTAGAAATCAGCCGAAGAATAAAGTGATCACATTTGTATTGACCAAACCAATCAGTGCGATCAGTGTTTTGTTCTCTGCATATATACATTGATTTTACAAAATCGCAAAATTAGGAAATTTGGGTTGATAAATGAAAAGACCCTAGCTTTGAAGCAAAACTGAAGTTTTGATGGCCATCACGATTCTACGTGATCGAATACAGCGGCACCTTTGAATCAACTAATAGAAAAAAGTTTTTACTACGTCTGAAAAAAAAAGATTGTAAACTACGAATTCAATAGTATAATAGATAAATGACGTACGTTAATGCATCGGAATTCGCAGCACAATTTATTGTTTAATTAGAACACACATATACCGGAAATGACGTTATTAGATTTTCGAAGCTTATTGTGAGAACCTTTAAGACGTCAGTCAATAAATGATATTGATTGAACCAAAAACGAATTGAGAACTAACTAAATTATTGTTAATGGATTATAACCCAAAGATGCTACTTGACAAGAAACGTTGAGCTAATTACTCAATTTTTTCTTCTTTTTGCCTTTGATTTAAGAAATCGATTCAAAAGAATATAGACACTGCATTAAGAAATTTAAAAAACTCAAAATAACAGTGCCAAATAATGATAAGAGTTGCGCGCAATGGTTTCTTGAACAGCATACTTTCTTGTGATCTATTGGTTGTTTAAATTGTTAAAACTGGCTTTTCAGACAGTAGTTAATTCTATACTCATTATCTTTCTGGGTTGTAAAACAGTGATAGAGACAAAAAATTCTCGAGTAATTCTACAGACAAAATATTTTAAATTCTTCAAATTGTACTTGATTGACAATATAGAACTCAATTTTTCAGTCCAAGTGGGTAAAATATGAATGTCAAACTTTTTCAACTTTTGAAAGTTAAATGAATACTTTTTTCCATGAGCGGCACTTTATGAAATGGAATTGGTTGATCAGACTTTCAAGAGCCTACGAAAAACAAAACCAAACTATCTGAGTAAGTTTATTTTGAAGAAGTAGCTGCACTATTTATATCTTCAAAAAGAAGTTAATAACTATTTCCCATTATGGAAAAAGTATGCTAAAGATTTTTACCTGACTGAAAAAGAATCCAAGTTTAGAAAATAAAGAAAAAATTTAGATGCGTATTTTTCACTCGCAAGAATGTTTCTATGCTCAAGCAATCAACTTTGGTGGAAAAAAAATTGCATGAAAGCTTAAGTTTTTCTCCACAACATAGTCCAAATGATACATTTTTGCACAAAGAAAACATATTTTTTCTTGATATTTTGTGCAAAGTGAGATGTTTTGGGTTTTTTGTTCTGACCATTTAAAATGAGAGGATTTTTGTATTTTTGCCTTTTTGTGTGTTTTGGATTTTGGAGACAATTTTTTAAAAATTTTATTTTATCAAATGATTTTTTTATTGGTTTTTGAAGTCATTTTTTGCCAAAAAGTGTTCGTATATCAGACTTCGAAAAGACAACGAAACAAAAGAAATGTATTTTTTGTATATCTTAAAACATTGTCTGTCGACACATTCTGTGCTACTTACACACTAACTGGATATCCGTGTTTTTATGAAGAAAAATAATTTTAAAACTCTTAACAAGACTGCTCGTATTAGGGCGAAGCCCTGAATGTTCTGACTGCCTTTTAAGGTTTATGGAGCAGCAGTAATAACATTAAAAAAAAACTAAATCAAATAAAATAAAATAAAAAAATTTTTTCTAAAATTTGAAAATTTTTGTGAAAATTTACCCCCCCACACGCCAGATA